GGAAAGAGATGACTTACTGATGTTTGACTAAAAAGAACCAATGAAATAATTAAAATTTTTAGTTTGGCATAGTAGGAGTCCAAAAATCTGGTTTTAGGTTAAGGAATGATGCCCAGGCTAATGAAGAAAAAAAGAGCATCTGTAGGACACACCCGTGAGGACTGGGCTCCTTGTCCTGTTCTGCACTGATGGGAGCTAAGCTGCTGGACTCTGTGATGGAAGAGAAGAGCTGAGTAGCAGCACTTGCATCGCCAGGTTCATCTAAGGGAGGAGCCAGCATGTACCATTCAGGTATTAGGCCAGTGTCTGCCAGCTGACAAACACTTACCTGAGTCTTAAGCTATTTGCAGGAATGAGAATGGCAGACGTATAGAAGCCTGAGGGGTCAGGCCTAAGACAAACATACTAAAAATATTTGTATAGTGCATTGGTGCCTTGGAAGATCTTATGTGTTACCCCACACTTCAGATGGTTATTCAAGGTCAAACTACCCCATCTGGCAAGACTTTGTAGGTTAATCACAAATGACAGCAGCTCATCAGTAACTGTAAAGATTAGCATGAAAAGAGAAAGAAATTGGGAGTGTCACATGATTTGAAATGAGCCAAACTAGGAATGCAGTTGTCCAGCCACTGCCTCCCATCTATGGAGCACTCCAGGAAAGGGTACAGCCCTAGTGAGAAATGAACAGAGGACTGCAAATCCCCACAACAGGCAGAAGGATTTTCCTACACATGCAACCACTTAACACTGCAGCTGTGCTGGCAACTCGTGCCCCAAATTCAGTAAATGCTAACCTCCTCCCCTTCCTCACGTTTCTGAAAGAAAATTACACCTGCACCAGTGGCTGAGAGCAGCATCTTGTGCTGGAAGCTGAAGCAGCATCCTGACCCCCTGAGCAGTGCTAAAGCAATTCCCCTGTGCTAGAGGAGTGAGGGCTGCCTAATCTTGGAAAGAGACATACTGTTTCTGCTCCTGTGCCTCTCCAGATGTGCTTCTGTCAGGGGCTGTTTATAGACCGGCTCTGTGTGCGGTGCTGCAATGTCACTTGGGAGCTTTCCCTGCTGATGCCGGCAGAGCTGCCGGCGTGCTGCAGGTGTGCCACACATGAGCAGATGGGGAATGGTGAGAGCAAGGAGGATCGATTCTTACTCTGCATCTCATTTTGCTCACAGCAGGTTTCACACTGTTTCACTGTTACACCCGGGCAGATGTGTGGAATTCTCATTTCTAGTTCTACCAGTATCAGTCCCAGGGAGCAGCATCTGTGCTGGCAATAATAAAGAAACTTGAAAAAGGAGCCACTAGGGTTGCTTAGCAGAAAGGAAGAGAATTAATCTTCTAAAAAGAAAAGACTTGATCTTCCTCTGCCATACATTTCAGCTCCAGCCCCTATATAAATTTCATACTGATTTCATAGAAGCCACATATGTACTGACATGTTGCTGACTTGGTTGCCAGATTACTTGAGGTATTAGTGTCATGGTGCATAAATAGGTCAGTCAGCACCTTTGTATTTAGCAGCTCATAAATCTGCACATGATTTTGTGATTTTCCCCCTAAATTCTCTAAAAGTTAATACACCAAGGTAGGGATGTGAACACTGAGGCCAATTGATTTCATATTCTTAGATGTATTTGCTTACTCCAGCTGCTGTGCTGCCTCCTCATACTCTGACTGTCTTGTCAGGGTATGTGCGGGGCTTTCATTTTGGCTTCTGTATTATTAGTAAAATTGTTAAATAGTTTCAAATCATATGTCCAAAGTGCACCAATACAGCCAAAAGTCCTAATCACTGTTTAGAATTCAGCCATATCCTTCTAAATGTTGATGGCAAGAATATGCTGAAAATATTAAGGGTCTCCATTTCATTATTCAGACGAACACCTACTACTACTTCTAACTTTTTTTCCCATTGCTCTTTAATCTCATTAGCACAGGAAACATTTTCCTATATGTGATGACTCATGCTACACCTCTCAAAACTGGCCTGTTAGATGTAGTTTCCCAAATCAAAATGTGGCTTATGGAAATGCTGTTAACATTGTATCTGAAAGAAAGAGCTGGGCTCAGCTCTTAAATTATGACCCACATGGGATGATCCTTACATCAGTCTGTAAATTGAGTAACTCTGGAAATCTCCTTAAAGTGATAATTATTAAACCCTACTGTACAGAGCTAAAGTAGAAGTATACTCTGAAATAGAGTTTGAAAGAAATATTCTATAAACTGGAAAATAACAAATCCCTGCAGATCTGAATGAGAAGGTGGGATAATTCTGTATTTGGGGCTGCTTTGGATTCTGCCTATTAAAAGCTTATTTTCCCAACCAGAGAACTGAGTGTGATTTAGAAAAAACATGAAAGAAGATCTCTTAAGGAGGGTGTATCTTCTAATTTGCCACTTTTCCAGCTATAAGATAAATTAGAAATACTAATACCTGGAAAAAGAGCATACGTTACTGTTGTCCAGATGGAGACTTTGTATCTCCAGGAAGTGTAATGTTCTCTGAGGCAGGGAGGGGAGGAAGAAGAGAGGACCACCCAGAGAAATCCTGATCTCTGTAGGGCTTAGGTGAAAAAAGTATCCAAAGACCAGAAATATCCAGGGAGCAAGTGATGGAGAATACAGAAAAAATTTGTCATGACAGCTCACCGTGTCTATAGGGGAAAATTCAAATAATATATAGAATGAGATTATACAAGTCTGATCAACTAACAACTAGTTTTTTGCCTGCTTTGGGGTCAAAACTTCCTAGTTTATGTGATATCAAAATTCATTCCTGAGATGCTAGAATCTGGTTATGGTTCATTTATGTAAATTCCAGGGAATTTACAACTCCTAAATAATCAACTGTTGCAGATAAGAATATAGCATTATTTCACAGATCTTATCCCACAACAAGAGCTCATGTGTCTTTCCAGTGTGGTGTTGAGCAAATTGTTTTAATAACTAATAGAGAGCTCCTGGTTTAATTGTTTTAATCAACTGATTTATGCAGTTCAGTACTCAAACATATTTACAGAATTAGCCAGGCCTGTAGACCTGTAAAATTAAGCACAAAAAATTTCATTGAAGGCAAACATGAGCATATGCTCAATGTTTTCCAACATAGGCTGACAATCATGAATCGCCTAACAAAACACTTAATTCTGGACACGCTGTTTTAAATAGTATTCCAGTGTCACCCAGTTGTTGAGACTTTTTTGACTATTTAAAAAGAAAGAAGTCTTACTGTAACAGCTTACATTAGAGGAAAACATAATTTCAGGCTTAACAAGTGTCAAGAAGCTTTGAATTTCATGTGGGTAGAAAGAAACAGAGTTAAAGCCAGAAACAGGGATGAGAGCATGCCAGGAGGGACACTTTCCATGTTTAGAAGAAGCGAATATTATGTCAGGCGATATGGTGAACCTGATGGATGAGCCATCTAACCCAACACTGCAGATCATGAGTTCCCTTCAAAATTATATTGTCGGGGAAATATACATCCAAATTTGTTCAACTTGTACTTGAGAGCACAAAGAATAAGAGAGGTATTCTTTCTTTTGTGAAGACCCACTCTGATAAACATGCTCAAAACCAACTTGCAGGTCCCTGTGAGCATAATTTTAGTCGATAATGACAATGGATATTAAATTGTGTAATTTCACTGAGTTATAATACAGCAGATGACTTAACAACTCATGGATACAGCAGAATAAGTTCATTTACTGTTTACTGCAGAAAATTTACCATCTCTACATAGTTACAGTATTTCTTACTGTAGTCTCCTTGAAACCAGTTTGATTTTTGAGTTGTGCACTTAAAATGAACAATACAATAAATGTAAGTATTAAATACCTAACTGGAGAGTTAGACAGAGCCACTTTCTATTTAATGTTTTATGATCTATTTGTGTTACATTATCAGGGTATGCCTGTGGTATTTTGAAGAGTGATGTAAGCTTGCTGTGCCAGCTCTGCATCTGTTTGATCAGAGCCACGGTAGGATGGCCCTAGGAGAGCTAACCCCTTTTATGTGGCCTTAGGTGAGCTAATTCCAGTTATGTGGTTTCATGGCTTTTTTCCGGCTCTGATAAAGCTCAAATCTGCCTGAAATACATCATGGTGACATATGCTACACCATCCTCTTCAGGATGTAGTAGACCTAACTCTTGAGAGACAGTCATTATACCTCATGAACAGAACTTGCTAAAAAACTGAAACCACATTCTTGCAACAGGAGAAACGATGAGGAAAATAATGAAGTGGAAATCCAAACACCTTCGAAGCAGTGTCACGCAGTCACATGTGATATACCTGACCAATGTTCTTTACAAATAGTAAATACAGTCTCAGCATACCAATAGCTGTGTTCATGAAAAAGCTGCTTTCCTGCCTATATGCAATCCACCTCTTACTTTCTTACCTTAACTGTAAAGTAGCTTTTTGTCTCCTGTGACAGAGCTACTGCAGTTTGCACATTCATCTTCATAGCACAAGGCATTCTGGCTTGTCGTTGCCTCCTTCAAGTTCTGGGTATGACTGACACCAAAGACTTCATCTTTAGTTTCTCATCAGCCAAACACAATCTCATTCTGAAATGGCCTTTATGTTTGCTGGCTTTTTCTGTGAAACAATCTGGCTGGCTGGCAGCGCAGGTGTTTAAGCGTAAGGGCTTCCTGTGGTTTAAGATTTGACAGACTCCAGTTGGTACCCCTAGTTATTTGACAGTGATGTGGCAACGCTAAGTGGTTGCTGATGAACAGGTCTGCAGTGATCATGCCTCTGTTTTCTGTTTTTGTTTTTTGTTTTTATCTTTTCCTCAGGGGAAATCGCTCACATCAAAGAGGTTAACCAGTCTAGTGCAGTCCTACTAAAAGGATCACCTTGTAGCATGGAAGCAGACTCAAATCATTATACATACTTTGTAGCTCACTGATTGCCTGACTCAGAGGACAGTAGAACAAGATGTTGCATGAGCAAGGACCTGACTTGTTTTCTTTTGTGTATACTAAGGCATTACAGACTCCGAGGGACTCTCTAGCCTTTCGATGCCTCCATTTCGAAAACTGTCTGCTCACTTCCTCCTTCATATCAAGCTGGATCTGTGTCTTTTTATTTTCTGCAAGCTCAAGTACAGTGAAAAAAAAGCTTCTGCTAGGCACAGTTTATTAAAAAAATACGTCAATCAAAAACTGGAAGAAATGTAAAAAATGCATATATTAATAAATATACATATGGCATCACATTTATTGCACAATAAATTAGCACAGAAGGTTTCATTTCACTGATGTATTCACATTGAGAAAGAAAGCCTGTGTCTTTGTCTGTTGTCTGTATATTCTCTGTTAATGTTTCTTGCATTTATTTTTATACCATATTTAAAAAAGAACACCTTTTACTCCAGATGTATTAAAGTTGATCCTTTCTCTGTAAATTTGTGTATGTTTATATTGTTGTTTTATCTTTCATTAAAAGATGCAGAATCTCTTTCCTTTGGGAATTTTGAGATTTTAATATTAAATCTGAAGATTAGTCAAGAGCAAAATCATCCCCAGAAGTTACACAACTTGTGCTTTTAAAAAGTGACATGAAATGGCATTTTCTTTCTCTCAGTGACACTTAATCAAACACACTTCACTGATAATCATTTACTTATTTTCTTTTGATCAAGCTAGCAGCAGAGAGACCTTTCCAGCTTGCTCATCATCACATAAGCAAACCTTTCTTAAAGCTAGACCCGTTCTGTAACAGTGCAGCCTGCGCAGCCATTCAGTTGCTGCCCATGACCCAATCGACTGAACTGCATTTCCTTAGGAACGGATGTGAACGGACGTGAGCAAAGCTGGCTGAGAACACAAGTGTATGCTTGCTAAATAGGAAGGACAGTCTTTCTTTCTCCTTGCTGCCACTGGTGAAACAATGCCACATTTTAAGCTGAAAAGGTAGTGGTTTGGGAGTGCTAAGTCTGTAGAGCAAACCTTGGGTAGTAATGCAGGAGGCCACCATTTTAATTCAAGGGCCCTATTCAGATGTGCTGTTGTATGTCTGCTACTGAGGTTACTCGGATGGAGACCTACTGGCAGGTTTATGAGAGCACATAGGCGTTGCCCATGAGACAGCAGATACGGAGCTTCTGAAGCTAAACTGAGCTGGAACCAGAAATCTCTGCTTGGCCTAAGAAACGTGACTTTTGACTGATAGTGATGACATAAGGACAGTAGGCAGAATCACTGAGTAGGAAAGCAATGATGGGAACTAAGGCAAACAACAAATTGCTGATATCTCCAGGGCATCCTAGGGCACATGGGAGAAACAAGCCTTTTTAGCAATGCACAGGATCAGCTCAGGAGAGCCAACTCCAGTGCCATCTGTCATACTGACTTTGGTTTGATATTGAGGAAGAGGAATCTTGTTTCAAAGGGACTACCAAACCTAAAAATGCACACCCTCACACACGCACAAAAGTGGGACAGTCACAGGCACAATCAGATGATAAATTTGAATACAGTAATGCTGGAGTCATCTCATTTAACATGGGCTGCTGCCCTGAGCTGCTGCTGGCAGGGCAGGGCTGCCGCGTAGAGCAGCCATGGGCAGGAGGGAGCTGAGCTGCCTTCCACAGGGAACGCTTGCTTCTCCACTGGCTCCGCCAGCGGCCTGGTGCAGCCGTCGCCCTGGCTGCAGCTTCTCTAAAGAGGCACTCTGAATGAACCCCGGACAAAACACGTTATAAATCACCACGAATAGCCCCAGGTTTTGCTCAGTCGAGGGTTCTGGAGGTTTGGGATTTTTGTTTGTTCTTTGTTTTCACATGCCACTGTGTCTCTGGTTTCCAGTTAGGATGATAATCACTGCTTTAAAGCGTCTCTGGTTTTGTTAGCACAATTCTACTAAGCTTTTATCAGAAAACACTGGAAATGCCCCATGAGAGCTTGATTTTATCAAGAGCTCCATCTAGGTCAACTCAAAATATTCACAGTCTAGAGAGGCCAGATGAATTTTAATACATAGTCACACTGAACCCCAGATCTTAAACTCTGAGATTTAATTTTTCTTTACCACAGAAATGCAAGCTCTGAGACATGAACTTGGGGCCAGGCAATCCACAGAAATTTGAGCTTTGTTTCACTTGTCAGTGCCAGAGTTATTTATTTCCAAACTCCTGCTGCCACCAATTGCATCAGTTAGTATATTGCCTGCTTTGCCTTAGGAATTAACTAATTAGATACCAGTGACTGCTTTGAGGAATCACTCCCTTCAAATAACTAATGTTTGAAACGCATGCATTAGGTATTTCATGCAACTTTACCCTAAGAAATATATTTTTTTTCCCAAATCACTTTGCAACACCAACTGACCGATAAAAAGATGTGGAACATTTGTATTCCTAAACCCATTTTGTACTTATTCTAGTTCTATCCTTTCAATAAATATGAAGTCTCTATTGAATGGCTGTCTTTACCTGTATTTGCACAGGATTTAACACAATGTCTGTAAAGTAAAAATATGCATCATTAATAAGGGTTACAAAGTAGTCAGGGAGCTGTTTCACTTGAGCTTGGTTTCAAGTGATACAACTCCACTGTTACACGGGAGTGAATTTGGCCCCCAAAAAATCTATCCTATAACCAGTTGATTTTTAAAGGGTTCATCTGCAATCTTTTGATGCTTCCCCTGATCACTGTCATCTGCCAGTGATACAATACTGGGACTGGAAACTCCAAGTAGGCACAAACTTCCTTTTACTTCCCCACAGAGAAAAGTGAAATGTTTGTTTCCAAATTTATATGAAGATCCACTTCCAAGAATCAAGATTTACTCAGATTAAGGCATATTTGTACAACCACCAAACAGCTGAAGTATGACTTCGGTTACCCAGTGCTATACCCGTTAGGAATTTCAGTGAGGCCATGAGTCTGCTGAGGAAAAACAGACCGAGAGAGAAACCCAATCTAAAGGGACCATATTTCTTGTCTCCTGGGGAAGAGCCATCAATCAGTGCCTCCTGGCTCTGCCCAGGAAGCTGAAAACACCCTCCATTGGGGGATATTAATTGTCATATTCATCAAAATAACCACTTGGAGCTGGGCACTCCCATTGGAGAGTTGGGGTTCATCAAGAAGTCTCTTTCCTCATGCATCCTTGTGCATAAACCAGCTCTTAAGCCCACAGGGGAAATAAATGTTTGCTGGTGCTGCTGCACCCTTGGTTTTGTGCTCCCAGACCAGCCTGGGAAGGAAAACGGCCAGTGGATGAGATGGGAGCTTCCCTGGCACCTACAAGACAAACAGCAAAATTTTGACCCATTCTTCTGTCAAGTGCAATTAAAAACTGTCCTTCAACCCTACAAAACCAAAGAGGGAGGAAGAACGCCTTAAACAGTGACAAGAGAAATTGAAAAATGCTGAGCTGAAACAGTGGTGGACACTGGCCAGAAATTAATGAGCTGAAGGTCAATACAGGAGTAAGAAATGGGAATTAATTGTGGTGACCAGAACAGAACCAACAAGGGAGGAGAACTGGGGAACTGAGGAATTAAGAGAAAGAGAGGCTGAATGCAGCTGGTGGATTGCCAGCCTGCTGGCCACGGCCCTGCAGAGTTGGAATCACCCCCCTAAACCTCCCAAAATCATACAAGATCAGTTGTGGCTCACCCTTTAAAACCCAACAATGATATTTTTCAGCTAGAAAGCAATTAACACCAAATATCTAGAATGGCTTTTTTCAAATTGCACCCCTAGCATTGTTTGAAATCATGAGACAAAAATGCTGAATAATCCTCCAAGAAATAACAAGTAGTAGGGCAAAAACCAGTTCCAGAAAACAAGACCTATAGGAATGCATTTAGGATATTTATTTATTAAAAAAAAAAATAAAGCCAAAGCAGACAACTGAACTGAAGGAAGACTGTTTTCTTTAAGTAACTGGGATAAGGAGTTGGGAATGACCAGTGATTTATCTGTGGCTCTTCCAGTTATTTATCTTTATGGCAAGTGATTAACAGCTGTTTGAATTTAGATTTTAAAATCACCATATTTTTCATGTCCCTTCTAGCTATACATGTTTTGCATAGAACTAACACTGGACTTACTAACTTAGCTGCATAAAAGACAGGAATTTTGCTAAAAGAAAGTTAATAGCTCTTAGAACCTGTATAAAATAAGGTTTTAATCCCAAGATGTTCAAGGGAAATTATCAACAATTTCTTTGAACATATTCTGTGTCCACGGTTCATTGAAGCAGGTTACTAAGTGGTTGTGAATCATACCAACCTGTCTTCTGATCTGACTGTGCTGAACAGATTGATGCCTTTGACTCCTGTGAGTTGAAGACAACCTGAAGTTCCAACATCAAAGAGACAGAGGGGAAGAGAGGACGAGCTTGCTGAGGCTGAGCTCCCCTCCCTGTGCTGTTCCAGACTGTGGAGTGCTCAAGTGACATGTGTACAAATAAATGGGTTTTGTTTGTACAGATATCAGCTTGAGGGCTGCAGAGTCTTTCCAGACAGTCATTGTCTCTGCCACAACATTTTTTTCCTAATATCTAAGCTAAATCTTCTTTGCTTCAATTCACTCCTTTATTTTTGACCAGGCTGCTACATTCACTATACTGAAATGTTCCCTATCTTTTTGCTCAAATGCATAAATGGCCATTGCAATGTTACAGCCTCCTTTGGTTTTCTTACTGGTGTTTTCTGAAGTGTTGAGTGCCTTTGTCGCTCTCTTCCAGGCCGGGGGGTGTTACAGCTTTCTTGGAGGACAGTGCCCAGAGCAGGCTGCAGGGCTCCCACCCAGGTTTTACAGGAAGAGGGCAGAGGATTACTGTTGTACTTCTGCTTGTACACACAGTTACGGGGCTTGCCCTTGTTGCGGTAGATGGCCACTACTGAATGGTGCCAGTTTACGTGGCACAGTGATGCCCAGATCCTCTGCAGCAAAACACAGATGGTTGCTCCCCTTTGTGTGTAGCTGACTCTCCTTGGGTCAGGGAGGCATCTTCGGTTGTCAGCTGAGTAGCATCCTCCCTTTTCAGACCTTCTTCCTCTTTTCCCAAGGTCATTTTTCTCTTTTGATTCTAACTTGTGAAACACTTGTAGTCCTTTTACCTGTGGGTATCTTTATGCGTGGGTGAGAGAGAGGAATCTGCTGGCCCGATTCTTTAACACAAGTGTG